TTTTAATAAACAATGTCAATTTTTATTTTCCTCTTTTTATTTGTGTGAAACCTCCTACCAAAATATAAAAACGACTTAAAACTCGTAGAAGCAAGTTTTTCAGTTTATTTTACTCTATCTTGATATTGTGATACTTGTTTGATCTCAAACTTTCATTTTTCCTTATTGTATTTTACAAGGTTGGTATTTTTATCTATCAAAGGTTGCATCTCATGTTATTAAAATTGATTTTTCTCATTTTCTCCTCTCTTTTAGCATGACTTATATGATTTTAATTTTGTAAAATTCACAAAAAATAATTAGAAAATTATTTTTAACTCAATTTCTGTGTGCATATTTAAATGTAAAATATTTACATTTAACTTATTGGTCACAAATTTTTAAAGTTGTCAAGATTTGATGGTTAAAAACTTTAAATGGTCATAAGTTTTGTTATGAACCTCAAATGGAAACACTCCAAAAATAAAAGTTGTTTGAAATGAATGACGAATGCATTAACCAAACCTTAAAGGGCACTAGAGGTCTAGAATTTTAAATTTTTTTATCATTTACAGTATTTTTTTTTTGTAGTAGTTTTTACCCATTTTCCATACTCTACAACTTTATTTGAGATACACATAATACTTAGAAATTTATGAAAATTTTTATGGTATATTATTGTATTATATATTGATTTCTAATGCTTTTAGAAGACATAAATTTTGGCATAAAATTAAAATAAAAAATACTTAAAATTTACCTTTGTTGTCTCTACAACAAACATAAATTAATGTCTATTATGCAACACACTTTAATTTACTATGTTCTAAGGATAATAGATATAACTTTAAGTCTTCCATTACAACGTGTGACCTTTAACATACACAAAAAGCTTAAAATAACACACATAAAATGTTTTTTTGTGTGTTAGTGAATTGTAATGTTTAATTGACTAAGACTACCTTGAGTTTCTATTTAGTTTCTATTTAGTTGCTGGAGATTATTTCAAGTTCTTATTTTTACACTAATTAAATTAATATTATCTTGCCCATACATTTAAGATGAACTTAACACATTATTAGTTTCTTGACTACTTATATGCGTGTGTTTGCTTTAAACTTGTTATATATTAACTTATCATGTGTAGTTGACTAAGATTATCTTCGGTTTCTATTTAGTTGGTTCAAATGATTTCAAGTTCTTATTTTTGTACTTCTCCCTCGATTAAATGAGGAATAAGTGAAGAATGGTTTTAGAAATAAAATTTCACCTATTTTCTTTGGCTAAAACTATGCTGAATTTATATTTGTGTACTACTTTAGACTTAAAGAGATTTAAATGGAGGAAAAGTTTTCAAAATAACACTTATTTCTTTTCTTTGGTAGCAGTATGTCAACTTTATATCCACACATTGAACCCAAGCTTGAAATAGAAAAATGGGTGGGGGAATCAATATGATATCATTTTGAGATGCAAACTTGGTGTATGTAATAATGGCATTAAAGATGATTGAAAAAATTATGAGTTTTTACTCGTCGATTGTTAGATTAAAAGAATCCAACAACTCAAAAGCAATATAACTTCAATATTGTTATAATTTGGAGTTTAAAAATAGGATGTATGTTAAAATGGCTAAGGACTACTTTCTTGATTGTTAATTTCAAATATATTATGGTTTTCAACTTGTCCAAGACTTAGTAATTATGTCTTTAGTGAGTGATTCTAAAAAGATGTCAAGTTGATGGACATGTTTCTTTGATGTTAGGATGACATAAGCGAACATGAACTCAACTACAACTCGAGAGAAAATATGACTTGTATTATAGTAAATCACTTAACAAGATCACAAAGGAAGATTTTGAGGTGAAATTTGCTAAAAAGGAGTTTCCTTTGTTACTTGTAAATAAATGCGTAATGATGAGTGTTAAAGACTACTCTTCAAAGTATAAATAGTCATTGATGTTTCATGCATGTGCTAATGGAGTAGAAATACTTGAGAGCTTAATTGTGAACAATATCAAATTGGTTGATAGGTTTTATGGCACTAAAAAAGTTTGTCATGGTCAAGAGGATTCAAAAGAAAACTTCTTTCATATTACATTTGTCTGGTAAAGGTCATTCATGTTTATTTCTTTTCAACAAGTTTATGATGGTGGTGCTCCACATTCTTCTCTCTAATTGTGCAAGTGAAAGTGTTTATTAGATGATCAAACGAAGTCATCCTTTTTTTTTCTTGTTGCTAAAGAGCTTAGATAAGACATCAACACAAACACTTTATTTTTGACAAATGTGTTTGATATGGATTTCCATATTACTCACAAGCAGGTTAATAACTCAATGCTAATATTTCATTAATAAGGGGTCTCTAACCTAGAACTCCTCTGTCCAATTTCCAATAGTTAGTGTTAAATCACTTTGATATAAGAGTTTTGTAATGCCAATGCCTTTGTTGGAAGAACATTGACAATTAGTGTCTTATATTCAACCTAATTGTCAAACACTTGAAAATCATAATAAAATGATTCTTCAATCAATATGTTTCATATGTTGAAACTATTCATTTCTCATTTTAATACATATTTTGCATGTAATGCCTTGATCCTCTTCATTTGCTTGGGTCAAGCTTGTTAAGAAAGTTTACCAACTATTAAACTTTTATTTGCCTTATTAGTTCATATTTAAGACTTACTTTTGATGATTCAATAACCAATGAGATTATCTAACCTATAAGGTCAAGTTATTGTAAATTTGTTTTTACTTAATGCTTGATCTTCACAATTATTTAAGGTTTTGGAAATAAAGTCATAATCACGAGGCTTATATTAGGGTGAGTTTTACCAAAACAATAAGTTACTTATAAATTATTAGGTAACTTAATATATATATATATATTAATTAGTATAACATTTTTTTTATTACATAGTTTTTTTACTCTTACAATGGTTTGACTTATTTTGTAAAATTTACTCACGTCTTCAAAGTATTTTTTCAAAGTATTTTCTCTCTTATCACAATATGAAAGATCTTTTTTCTAATAATTTAGAGGAAAAAAATAAAGAATCATTTAAAACATTTGTAACTTAAATATTTATTTTTTATAATAAAAAAACTTTATTAACTTTGTTTCCTTAACATTTTCAAAAGTAATATATCTTTTTGTTGACATAAAAGTTTGTTTATGTTTAATTGTGTTTTATTTTATATGTTTTTTTTCACTTTTATCACATCGGTTATTTGGTATTTTGAAATAAAATTTATAATTCTATTTAAAAAAAGAAAGTACGTTATTTTTTTTATACCGAATATTTAATAATATTATGTTTTCTTTTTTGTTGTTTTTATTTTTGGGTTAAATATGTTTTTAGTCCTTAAACTATTAGTCGTTTCTGGTTTTCGTCCCTCTTTCAAAGTAAGGTACAATTTGGTCCTCATTCTTTTAGAAATGTTCGTTCTAGTCTTCGGAACTTTGGTTTTAGTCCTCATTTTGTTGTTAAATGAGGACCAAATTTTTAAACGGTGTTAGTTTTCGAGGACTAAAACGAACGTTTTCGAAAAGAATGAGGACCAAATTGTACCTTACTTTGAAAGAGGGACGAAAACCAGAAATGGTCAATAGTTTAGGGACTAAAAACATATTTAACCCTTTATTTTTTTATAGAAAATAATTAATTGATATTGAAACAGCAAGAAAGATGGGCATGGATACAAATATATTCATTTTTCATGTGAATAAAGATGAGAGAAAAATTTTCATATCCACAACTTAGTGTTTGCTTTCATGATGTATTGTTATAATGAATGAGGAAGCAAATACATTTGTGTTTACTTCCAATGATTTGCACTAATTTAAAAAAAAACATATTTAAATTTGAATGAGAAGGACTATAGCGAATTGTGTTTGCTTCCAATTATTTACACTAAATTAAGAAATCATATTTGAATTTAAATAAAAAAGACTTAATAGATCCTCTTATGAGTGAAAGAATTATAAAAAAAATTCAAAATAAATCATTTTGCACAAATGTCTTTTATTTTTAATTGAATTTCTTCACTTTTAAATGTGAAATGCTTTTAAATGTGCTTTTATTATTATTATTATCACGATTAATTAATTAATAATAATAATAACATTAATAATAATAATAATTACATTAATAATAATAATAATTACATTAATAATAATAATTACATTTTATTTTATAATAATTTTAATTATGAAGATAAAAACAATAATTTTACAATTTTATTTATTAAAGTATTTTTTATCCACTACATGCATCAAATCATTTTCAAACTTTTATAAATTTTACTCTTAAATTTCTTCACTTTTTTTTTTTATCTCTGTTCTTAAAACAAATAACTATACAATATTGTTTCTATTCCTTTACACCCCATCATTTCACTTGGTCTCAAATCCGTCATTTAAATCAAACACAACCTTAATTATTCACGTGTTTATTATCTAAGTTGTATCTCGTGTCACTGCGTGACTGCAATATCAATATCTCTTTATACATACACCCTACTGTAAGTCTAGTTTTCAAAAATAAAATAAAGAGACTACTAAAACAACGCAACAAAAAACACACTTAACACAAAAAGAGTTTTCTGAAATTTGTATAGGAATCATTCCGGCCTTTAACAAAAAGAGAAGTAAATTTATAATTATCTTATTGTAAATATTGACAATATTATTTAATAATTTTACTCATTAACTTTTTCTTCTGTTTAAATGAATTTGAAAAAAAATATAAAATAAATTTAAAATAATTTAAAAATAATTTTATTTATTATTTATTTATTTTCAAATTCATTCTCATTTATCTCCAAATCTATCCAAATAAATAATAACAAAATTTACTTTTAAATCTTTTGAAATTCTTTCAATAATTCTCTAACAAAATTTATTTTTAAATCTTTTCAGATTCAAATTCATTGCATAAGGCTCTACCAAATCCGTGAATAAAGCCAATCTATAAAATTAGTTACATAACACAGAAAATTAATTCAGATTGAATTTATCTGAAAGGAAATGAAAATCAGTTGAATTTATTTAGGTTGGATGTGGTGGTCTGTTATAGACGCTGGTATTGATAAGGTTGTAAATCTCTGCCATTGATACGAAGGAAGAAAATGTTGGCACCAAATCGAACGAGGGAAGCACTTTCTCTTTCCCTACCCCAACCGTCGTCTCATCCTCCGGAACCCGTAAACGTCCTCCTCCGGCGACGCCACCTCCTCAGCACCACCGCATTCACCATCTCCTTCAATTTCAATCTTTCATTCGCAACCTCTCTGTCCGTAACAGAGCCGGTGGCCGGTGCCAGCGGCCTCTTCCAAATGCCCCAACCACGCCTGACCAACCGGTAATTCCGTGAGTGATTCTCTTGTGATTAAGTGTTAATTTGCGGAGAATAGTAATAAATATGTTTTTACCTTGTTGGCGGTGATCTGGGCAGGTATTTTCTGGTGAGAGCTGGTGAGTCTGAGTTCGAGAGCATGGGAATTATCAACACCAACCCCGTGGAGAAGACTTCAGTGGATAGTGGCTTATCTGAAAGAGGGAAGAAACAGGCTATAAAAGCAGCTTTTGATTTGAAAGAAATGGGAGCATGTGACAAAGGTTGTTGGATCTGGTCTGCTATAACTCAAAGAGCTTACCAGACTGCAGAGATCATTGCTTCTGTTAATGGAGTTACCCGTAGGTTTGTTTGCTGTTTTTTTTTTCTCTATTTCATTTTTAAACTATAACCTCAACTTTTAAAGCCTCACTATTGTTGCAAAATTCTCTGATTTCAGCTATATAGTCCCAGAATTCAGCTTTCTTGATGCCCGTGGATTAGGTGCATATGAAGGAAAAAAACTGGAATCTGTTTCAGAAGTAGGATTTATCCATCTAATTTTTTCTTTAAATACCATTGGATTTGTTTAGTTAATTATCATGAGCTATAGTTCGTCACACACCCACAAAGAGAGGTGGTAACATATGAAATGATAGAGTAAGACCTTCAAATGGCGCAGGTGTATGCGTCAGATGGTATATCTCCAAACATCAAGCCTCCTCCTATTGATGATGGAACTCCGAATGAGAGTGTTGCAGATGTTTTTGTTCGTGTGACACAACTTATGTCGATTCTCGAAACTCAGTACTCAGGTGACACCGTTATTATAGTTTCGCCTGATTCTGACAACTTGACAATTCTTCAGGCTGGTTTGATAGGACTAGACCTACGAAGGTAACTGCATGGTTCCAAGCTTAAGCCATACTCCCTATAGTTTTAAGGTTTTGTTTTTGGCTACTTAATTGTAGATATCACTTTTATTTTTGAATTTCAGACACAGGGATTTGTCTTTTTCACCTGGTGAAGTCCGCTTTGTTGATCCCAGTGACATTCCTGCATACAAGCAGCCTGCGTCTGCTGTATATAAATGTTCCAAGAACCCACCAAATTGTAACTGACTGTATTCTTTCGGTCAAGGTATAGCAGGAACATGGATACTGATCAGTAGTTCAAGTTGTTCTGATGTTTCATTGAAATAATAAACTTATCACTTAATACAATCTAAAGATGATTAAATGAATGTGAGTTCATAAATGTAATGGAAGCCTGAAGATTAAATTGAGTTTCATAAGGATGATTTAGACCTTGGGGTATCTTGTCGTGTAAGATGGATTAGTTATCCCTGATTCTCTTTGTGCTTAAAATATACCAAGTTGAAGCACACAACAGTCCTGCAAAGAAAATTTATCCATTAAACCAGGGGCTAATAAGATTAACATGTTGTTAATAATATGTTTGGGTGAATATGATTTATTCAGCAAACAGAATAAGTTCAGCAAACTATGCAATGAACAGAGAATATATAGGGGAAGAATGTTAATAGTTTGCACCTGTGTCGTGTTAAATGCTTAATGCAGAAAGGTTTGCACTCCTAAACTTGGTTGAAAGGCAAAATGAATTAATAATTCCAATACTAAGATTTGCCTTTTGTGTGGAAGGGAACAACTGAGTCTGATACTGTCTTCAAGTCATTACTCTGCAATTCGAACATGGTGAGTGGAGGATTTGGTGCCACTCAAGTTATTAGTTTGAGAAACAGACTGTGACAAGAAAATGTACAACTGATAGAGATAAATTTTAAATCTTGGTAAAGAATTGAAATTGAACTTGACCAACTAAGAATACAGCTCTGCAACCAATGATAATTAAAAAAAACTCTAACACGGGCAACAAAAACAATACAATTAAAGTTATTTTTGAACTGAATTTGTTTATTATAAGTTTAAGTTTTAAGATGAATATCTATAATTAATTTTTGAGATAATTAAATTTTTATTTAGATATTATTTAGCATTATCATTTACAGTGTTTGGTTCCCTATATTTACTATTTCTGTCTAAAGGACTGATGTTTGCATATATTATTTTAGGTGGACCTCTTTCAATAGATGCATTGGTTATAGATTTAAAAATCTTTTTAAAATAGTTTATATTTATTTTGAATTTAACTAAAACAATATAAAAAAGAATAAGATAAAAAAAATATTAGAAAAATATTTCGATGCAGATAACTGTAACGATATATATATATATATATATATATATATGTATGTATGTATCCACTTCTATCTCATACACATTTTTCTCTTTTATTTAAAATTGACATAATTTAATGAAATAGTAATTTAATTTTAGTAATTTCTTATTTTGTTTTCTTGTAAACTAGTATTAAAAAAAAATTAAATTTATATATAAGAGTAGAATTATATTAAAAATCAAATTATTTTATACATTCATGTAACTTTATGAAATGATATTAAAAAAATATTATTTTTCAATTTTATAAACTAATTATTTTTAAATTTTAATGCATACTCATTCTTGGGAAAAGTAATTACCTAATTAATTTTATTTTTTTATGACATCAATTAAATATACTATAAACTTTTTACTTATCTTTTTCTTCGATCTAAATAACTTTCTTTCTTTTACTTCTCATTCTCTTTGTCTGTTTTTTCCTCTTTTCCTTCTTTCCTCTACCTAATCCAAAGATAGTATTAGTATTTGTGTTTGACAGGCATATCACTATGATATTTAAATTTTACAAGTATAATATATATGTGTGTGAATTAACATATATTCATTATATACGTATTGATATGATGATTTCTTTTCTGAAGGTTATTCAAATAATTTAGAAATTAATTCAAATTTTATATTAAAGAAAAATAAAAAAAAAGTAAAAAAATACATTTTTAAAATGAATTAAAATTATCAAAATGAGACTACTTAACAAGTCTATCATCAATTGATCACTTGATGGATCAATCCAACTTAATTCACTTACTCATGAATTAAAAAAAAAACGGGTTAACTTATATAATTTTAAGGATTTGCAGGTTTTTAGTTCTTTTTTATTCAATCAACCTTTTTCTAATATAAAAATTGGAACTAAATTCCATATTACTAATAATGATCATGACATATGTTAATATTACTAGTGATGAAAATCGAAAACTCTATTATATAAGGAAAAATAACCTATGAATTGATAAATTTTGATTGAGTTAAAACAAACGAGGGAGAAGGAAAGTTGAAAGGAGATCACAAACCAATGGATTGTGTATATTTTTTCTATTCTATTTTTTTACTTGTGTTGGGTTGTCATTGGCTACGTAAAAATGTACTTTATTTTCATCACAACTTGGTGAATAAGTGTAATTCATCACGAATTGAATCCAAATAAGTAAGGTTCTATATGTATTTAATTCGATTTTGATCTTAATAAAAATTTGCAATTATTTTCAACTCAGTTTTACTTAAAACTTGTAATAACTTAAATTGATTTAGAGACCTTGACCCTCTCTTTCAATTCTAAAATTAAATGAGTTAACAGTTTTAACCTACCAATATATAAACATTTTAGTTTAATCAATTCTAACTTACATCACACCAATTAAATTACAGTTATTGGTTAACATATTATATTTATAATCTAAAAATGAATAAATACAATCTGAATCAATGATATATTGTTTTTATTATTAATTGTTATAGGTGAAGTTTTATAATATACCACATAATTTGATATTTTTTATTATTTATTTTATGCAAACGTTGTTTATTTTTCTAATAACATTATTTTTTGTGAAATTTTAAATAAATTTATGAGTTTTGGTCATAAATTAAATTTCATATATTCAAACATTGTTGGATGAAATTGATAATTTAGTTTGAAATTTGACTCTCTCTTTTTAAGTTGAAAGCAACAGATATCGATTGGTTATGCATACAGCATGCGCACCAATGAATCACACACGAAGATTGTGATTAGCATTTGCAACTATTTAACTTGTACGGTACGTTTGTTGTTCATTGTTTCGTGATCATTCAGGAATGCTCCACTCAAACATGTTTTTTTTGGAAGACCTACTCGTAAAATACTTAAATATTGATATTTTTTTCTTAATATAATACTAATAAATACGAATAAACATGAAAGTTTATACAATTTATCATCGTATTAAATAAAAAATTGAAAATGCTTGTTTTCCAAAAGGATCCGAATATACTTTTGCCTCTCGATCGTCTTATAACAGAGTCGTAAGAAATGTCAGTGTTACAAACAGCCACAAAAATCGTGATTGAAGAATGATAAAAGATATTGAGTGATGTGACATGCTGCTCAAATTTTCAATTCTTTTATGAATGACAAATGATAAAATAAAAAATATTAAAAGAATAAACGAGTCTCTAATACTTTATCTAACAGAAAAATATTATCTTAATAATAAAAATTATAAGATTTAACAAAAGTAAAAATAAGTTTTACGAAGATACAGAGAGGAGGGTGCAGAAGTCTCCCTAATATATTATTAACTTTACCGCAGTGATTTAAAATTGTTAGGATAATAATTAAAGGATTACACATTTATGATTAAGTATGACAGAATGGACCTGAGTTCTTGAATCGGTTAATCTGTCTATCGCAATTTTATCAGTTGATTTAGTGTTTTCAATTCATAAATTCAGTTAAATATAAAAATTAAAATAAAATAATAATAATAAATTAATATCTATTTGGTCTTGATGGTATTGGTTTAAAATGACTTGAATGTTAATAGGAATGTGATGTGGCTATAACTGTTTGTCGGTCTGTCTCCTGTACTTATGACAGGAAATTTGTCTACCATGTATTACACGTGTGAGGCTTACATGTGTCTGGTGGTGTCATTAGATATTTTTTGTGAAGCTTGGTGTCAGTGTCTTTGCTACAGGCAAAATTGAACCAGGAAATAGGAAATAGGAAATAGAGGCTAGTTGGAATGGAACCAAGTCAATGAATGACTATTCTGTTTTTCTCTTGTCTGCTGCACTGTTCTTTACTTGCCATTAGCTGCGCAATGCGTCACAAATCACATCTTACTCAATTATTGCCGCTGCCTCTTGTGCTTACGCATGCCATAAATAATATTATTATTCTGTGTTTTTCATGTGGTGCTCACGGCCTTCTTAGTCAACACCAACATATTTTTACCAAAAAGAGAAAAAGAAGAAAGAAAGTGAAATATATTCGTGTTGTGAATTATTAATTTAACATTTTTATGCGTCATATTCTAAAATGTTTGAATCATTTTAATATTTACTAATTAAAGTGTTTGAAACTTAAATCACAATAACGTGATTTTAAAAGATTAAATTCTTACGAATAAATTTGAAAACTTCCTAACAATAATATTATTTTAATATAAGTATTTCGATTAGTAGGTTTAATAAGTGTATCTTTCATATTTTAAACCATTTTACTTAGTTTAGTTTATTTCTCTTCTTCTATATTTTAGAGAATCTTTCCTATAAGATCCAACGGATGGATACCTATCAAAGAAAATATGACTCTCAAATTAATTTTTAATTATACCAATCAATTATCACAGTCAAATCTTAAATGTCCAATAAATGCAATCACTTACCTTCTTACCTCACCTTATCTCTATATTTATAAGTTTCAAAAAGTGAGTTTTTGAACAGGATTGACCTAATCACGATCCAATGTCTCATAAACATGTTTTTAAGTTGTTAATAAAATAGTGAAATCTTTAATGTGTAAAATACTAAATTGTTGTCTACTCGATTACGGACAGTTCAACTGACATTTTTTGCGATTCTCGGAATTGACTTTTTATGTAATTGACCAAATGTTACGTAAATCAATCGATATAGAGTATAGTGATAATATCTAAATAAATTTTATTTTTTAGAATAAAACTAAATATTATAATAGGTGAAAATTTAGCAACTTGAGTTTTCAATGTCTTCTTATATTGTTGGTGATGAAACTCATTTTATATTCGGTTTTTTTAAGAACGAATTTCAAATAGTATTTAACAAGAGATAAACATAAAAAATAGAATAAAAATCCCTCTCTAAATTTTGGCCCTCCGAAACTCAAATTACATTAATTTTATCACAGACAATGTAAAAAATGGATTGAGAATTTGA